CAAGTCTCTAACATACAAACTCTGGGGAACACATTCAAACCATAGCAGTAGACAACTCCTTTCAACCAAATTTTCCTAGCTGATGATTTAAATTAAATCTATCCAAACTCCCAAATTGCTCAATGATTTAATAAAAAATAGTAGAACATCACTGGTGACTATTTACATATTTGTTCACCACTACTTTTTAAAAATGTATGTTTTATGTTCTTTCAATATATATATAATATTGATATCTTCAAAATAATTTGACAAAACAAAGATTCTTATGTCTGAAGAAGCCAAAGTACATGAGTTGTTATTTTCTCATATGTGAAGAAGCATCTAGGTTACATAAACTAAATCACTTGTCATGCGTTACACAATCACAATGAACTAATACATAAGTCCTAATCAAAATGTCTATGAATCTTTTTTCCTCTCTCCCCACCCACACATTTAATAGAAGCCAACTGGAAAGAGACAGCTAATGAAATCATCACTAAAATAAACTTAATTAGGGCCTAGAAATTGTTTGAGAATATAATTAAATATAATTCCAAATAAACAGATGAGATGTTGAGGGAAAAGAAAAAAAGAAGAAAGGAAAGAAGGAAGGGAGGAAAAGGGAGGGAGAGGGAGAAAAGAAGGAATCAATATTTTACTAATGACAAATTCGGGGCTGATCACAGAAAAATAAGGTAGAGAAAATTCTTTCAGTTCTCTTTAGCTATTTCCTAGGAAAGTTTAAACAACAGCATATCACTTGACCTCAAACCCTCTCACTCATCATCAATAATTATGGATTACCTAAGAGTAAAAGGGAGGATAGTACACTATGAAGAGTCAGGTCAGTCAACTTGAATTAGAAGCCTAGCTATCATTTATTAGTTCTATAATCATAAGTCTAAGCATCTCATAAATATTAATAGGATAATAAAAGGACCTATTTCATCAGGTTATTAAGTGAAATAATGCATTTCAACTGCTTAGCAAAATTCCTGATACTGAAAAAATATACTTAAAATGTTAGATGTTTATCATTATTATGACCACTATGAGCAGAGCATTTTGTTCATACCCCATATAGACCTGATCGCACTATTTCTCTACTTGAAACACTACAGTGACTTCCCATTGCCTCTATAATTAACTGCAAACTCCTCCTATAATCATCTCCCATCATTATTCCTATTCTACTCTATGTTCAGCCCCATCAGACTTTAATTCCTCAAATATACCACACCTTCCACAAGCCTCCAACCCTTTCTACATGAAGTCTGTTTTGCAAGAACATTCCTCCTCACCCTCCCTTCAATGTGTAAACACTTCTGAGAGCCCTTCCTGACACAGGGACTATTCTCCATCAACCAGCCTAATGTCCATGGAGGTATCCTGTGGCCAGAAGAATGTGCCGAGACTGAAGATGAAAGCCAATATGCTGAGACTGGCCAGTGAAAAAGGACACAAAGGGCCTTAGACTGGTTACCCTTACCTCTAAACTGCTTTTTATTTGCAGTAAGGGCACTCATGGTTTAAGCCAGAACTGACAAATGGCAAGTCTTGGGCCAAATCCAGTCAGGTGCCCATTTTTTATTAATAGTTTTATTGAAATACAGACTGCCTGTTAGTTTAATATTATCTCTGGTTGCAAAGTTCAGTAGTTGCAACAGACACCAAATGGCACAGAAAGCCTAAATTATCTACTATTCTAACCCTTTACAAAGATTTTGCTGACCCTGGCTTAAGCTACTGCTACTGCTAGTTAGGTTTTATTATTTGTGGTCATAAGCTTCCTAACTAACACAATGTTTCCATGGCTTCTTTTACTTTTCTTACTGGAAACATTCTTCTGACTTCACTATAATTACTTGTGTATCTTTTCTTTCATATATGCTTATTTTCCCACTTGCATGAAAGCTCCAAGTGCTACTGGCACTAACATTTTGCCTCTATCACCTAACACAGTACCTCACAAATGGAAGGCATTATAATACTGTAGGCTGAACAAGTAAACAAATGAATAAATACTCATATTTGATAATTAACAAATATTTGTTAACAACTAACATGTACATTGGGTTCTCTGAGTGATACAAAAGAACATAAGTCCAGAACAGCTTAAAAAGTAGGGCTAGAAAATAAACATGTAAGATTTAAAAAATAATAAATTATTTCTGGAACAAAGGAGGATTCACCTGTATATACATTAATAAATAATACTATAGTAAATGCATACACTGACAAAAAAAAATCCTGATTTTAGATCATACCAAAGGTAAGAATTTGTGTACACTCAGCACTAACCAAGGAAAAGGGCATCTTGACACAACATCGCCCTGTACTATGGTCCCCTAAAACCATAATGCACACTATCCACAGCTTTTTGGCATCAGCCCCCAAAGCCCTTCAACTCACACCTCTTGTTTTGACTTTGTTCACTGCCTTTGTTGAGATTAATGTTAAGAAATAATGATAAACACAACATTATTATCTTGTGAACCTGCCATCTAGGAAATCAGTCCACTTGAACACAACTCAGTGATGGATGAGTCCAACCTGTAAAGTTGGCCTAGACTTTCAAAATTAATGTTACCATATGAGAACCTCTCAAACCATCTAACCTCCCGATTTTATTTTCTCTCATTTTTCTTACCTTTAAAATCCCCCAGATAATGTTTTACATAGTATCAATTTTACACAATTATAGAAGTATTATCCTAAAAATGTAAAACTCAGAAAGCAAAAATTTAACCAGCAAAAATCATAGTCACTTCCTATAGCCATATATAGTTTCTAAAAATGAATCCAAAAGAAGAAAAAATTCAAAAAGGAACAAGAAGCAAGGCAGTTCCTTAATTGACATATTTTGTTCATCCTCTTAATCCATATTTTCCAGTCTCAGAACCCTGCTCTATCTACATCCTCCCTTCCTACTGATATTTATCTTCCTACTGACATTCTCCCATTACATCCTTCTTCCTACTGACATTTATCTTCCTACTGACATTCTCCCTTTACCAAGAGATTTTCCCCATACCCTTCCTGACCCTCATTCTGTTCTACCAACTCTGGCTAACTCAGCCTCCCTACCCTTATAGAGATATTCAATTCCTATCTCCTTTCCTATAACATCCCACAATCCTTAAAACCAGAGAAGTAGCCACACTTGTCTCCCATGTCAGCTCCCTTTCCAATCTGTGAAAGGTGAATAGTAAACTTTACTTCTTTCTACTTTTTTTTTTTTTTTTTTGAGTTGGAGTCTCACTCTGTCGTCCAGACTGGGGGTGCAGTGGCCGCTCCCGGCACCGCAGCCTCAACCTGCTGGGCTCCGGCGATCCTTCCGCCTCAGCTTTCCGAGTAGCCGGAATTACAGGCATGCGCTACCACACCCGGCTGATTTTTTGATTTATTGTAGAGATGAGATCTCGTTGCCCAGGCGTGTCTCAAACCCGCGGGCTCAGGCAATCCACTCACCGCAGCCTCCCAAAGGCGTGGGATTACAGGCTGAGCCACCAAGCCCGGCTTTCTTTCTACTTTCTAACTTGGTTGCAGTCTTGCATTATTCCCACGGCCCCAACACTGGCTCCAGCCCATCTTGCCTCAGCTGACCCTTTCATTATTCAAATAAACTCATATATCTGAGGGTTCCAGTTCAAGATGGCTGGCTAGAAGTAGGAATGGAGAGGAATCAGAATAGCATGTAAATATTAACACAAAGTGGATCATCGCAGAGACACTGGAGTCCATCAGAGCAACAACGGAAGCACGGGATGCAGAGGGGAGCAGAGCCAGGCAGCCAGCTGAGATGGGACCAGCAAAAAAAAAGGGGGGGGGGGGAGAAAAGCAACCAGAGAAACACAGAACTTAGAATTTTGTAGGAACACAACTGCTCAACGTACATTAATAGTTGTGGGATGACCGGGAGAACCTAATAATGTTACCCATCTTTCAAACTCCACCACAAATTTAACATTTCAAGGAATACTTAAAAGTCAACTTTGTATAACATTACTGTAAATCTAGAAATAAAAAATAAACACACAGATGATTGTGAAAAAGAAAAGGATGAGGGAAGAGTTCCATATCCTTTAATAAACTTGATAAACATTCACAGAATAAAGATCTCAGGAAACTATATCTATGGTACTGGTAAACTCTTCAATTTAATAAGGAAAACAGACTCATTAAAGATAAACACTTTTATATTGAAGTATTAAAGTAAATATATTCACTCAAGATATTGAAAGACTGACAAAAGGTGATAAATTCCAAGGTGTTCTACTTTACAGAATAAAAGACTTCAGAGCCAATTCTGAATAAAACAACCAAGAACTTGTAAATTTAAGCTGCTAAATAAGATTATTTCAATTTAGCATCTTCTAACTGGATAAACGCTTATGAGTGGATTTCACCCATCAAATGGAAAAAACCAGAATCATTGTTTTAATAATATCAACTTAAGAAAAATAAATTCTAGACCTCATAAGCAGAAACACTCAAGCTACACAAACATACACCCTAATAATGCCCAAGACCCCTTTCTATATTGATTGAGGCCTAGCCAAAAGTTAATCACATGGTTCTCTCTCTTTGTTTTGTCTTTATCCTTTTCCCCTAACAGCTTTACAATAAGCTAATAGATATCTTTAATCACTAGTCTTCAAATTTTAATCTCAAATTCATGACAAAGGAAGTAGATATAGAACTTTCCTAAAGAATTAGGCAAATTTTATTTTACTTACATATTAAACTTTGATATTGATGTTTATGTTGTGTTTCTAAGATTTGTTATATTGTTATGAAATGAAAATGTACCAAAGTAAAAATCTGAGAAAACTATTTTCCTTTGCTCTTTCTTCTTTCTCTACTATATTCTGTTTTTTTGGTCCATCTTCTTCCACTCTTACAGCAATTTAGCTACAAGGTAGGGGTAAGAAAAACCTCAGAAAACAAAATTTAGCTAGAATATTGCCATGAAATCACCAAGTCATCACCATGTAAGATATGCTTCAACTTACCCACGTTTGATGTTATGTAATTCCTTGTCCTTGCCTTTTTCCTTTTCTTTTTCTCTTTTCTCTTTATCTCTGCCTTTCCGTCGTTCTCTATCCCGAGATCGACTTCGCGTTCTTCTATGACTAGACCGCTCACTGCTTCGACTGTGAGAACGTGGACGAGGTCTTGACCTGGACCTATAGTGAATATATTTTATTAATACATTCAGCTTATATTTTGTATTATGAAATATAAGTACCCTTTAAAATTATCTAAAAAATCATACTTAGTTTTAGTTATGGACTCAGAAATTAAATAACTGTGAAGCATTTGATTCTTTATAAATAAATGCTTTTGTTTAAAACGATGTTTGAGAGAAATTTATATTGCTAACTTTGCAAGAAATTAGGATGTAGTCAAAAAGTGTCCGCAGGTCAAAGTCTTAATGGTTCAAATAAAATCATTATTTTAGTCTTCTCAGATAATAACAGATCTATGATAGATAGATAATGTGCCTATCTAATCAACAAGGACAGGGCTTTCCTTATCCCTACAACCTCTACTTTCATATCTATTCAACCTTATTTCTTATAACTATTAGCTATAATCAATATAATTATCCATTCTAATTCAGCTTGTCTTTGTGTAAAATGAATGACAGTATTAAGTAGGATACATTATGTGTTAAGAAATAATTATTTCAGTCCTGGTTACAGTGTGGACAAGAAATCCTCTACCAGACTAGCAACCCTACAGACAACTATTTAAGAAAAAAATACAGTTGACCCTTAAATAACATGGGTTTGAACTATGTGTATCCACTTATATGTAGATTTTCTTCTGCCTCTGCCATTACTGAGACAGTAAGACCAACTCCTCCTCTAACTCCTCCTCAGCCTACTGAACATGATAGATAAGGGAAAAGACCTTTATCAATGATCCACTTCCACTTAATGAATAGTAAAGATATTTTATTAATAACATTTGATTTTAACAACATTTTCTTTTCTCTACGTTACTTTATTGTAAGAACGCATTATATAATACATATAACATACAAAATAAGTGTTAATCTACTGTTTATGTTACCAGTAAGGCTTCCAATCAACAATAGACTATTAGTAGTTAAGTTTTGGGGGAGTCAAAAGTTATAGGTGGATTCTCAGCTGTGTGAGGGGACCAGCACTTCTAACCCCCAAATTTTTCAAGGGTGAATTGTATATGAAGGTACTGGAAAATGACCAAAAACAAGAATATTCCATAGAGGACCAAAACTTAGAAAAAGAAAACAGCAATGAGAAAGTTGCCTATTTTATCAACTTCTATTCTGTGACAAGCACAACCCAAGTCTGTGACACGTAAAGTAGATATAACTCCAACAGAAAATCTGTAGGTTCCTGGCCCCCAAAACCAGAAAACAGACTCAGGGCAACCACAGCAACAGGTAAATGAAAGGAATACCCTATAAAAGAGTCAAAAGAAGGACTCAAACATTATATTTGTCAACTCAATTTAAATCTCTGGTTCAACCATAAATCAGCATATGGAGAACAGACTCTAAAGAGCTAAGAATAAAAGGACTGAACCAAAATTTCAGCTGTTCTCACGGACACATAATATTTCTATTTTAATCCAACCAAGTTATTTTCCTACTAAACAGACAAAAACATCAATATTATTCAGAAAAATATAATAGCGTTTACAATGAGATATTTACCATGTCCAGGATAAAAATCCAAAATTATGAGATACACAGAAATAAACAGAAATAAATGTGCTCTATTCTTAAAAGAAAAGATAATACATGGAGATCTATCCTGAGATAAGCCAGATGTCAGAATTAGCAAGCAAGGATTTTAAAGCAATACAGATAACTATGCTTGTAATGACTATAAAGCTAAGCAATCTAAGCAGAAAAACTAGAAAATAAAAAAAGAAATTCTATAACTGAACAACAACCTCTGAAATTATAATTATGCTAAATGAGATTTAAAAGCAGATCAGATTGGTGATTACAGAAGAAAGAATCTGTGTACCTGAAAATAAATCAATCAAGGTTATTCAAGCAGAAAAACTAAGAGGAAAGTAGATTAGTAAGAAAACAATAACAGACTCTTGAGGATCAGTGGGGTGAGATTTAAATGTCTTACATGTTTATTTAAACCCAGAGGTGGAAGAGATAGAAAATGAGGAAGAAAAATAAGTGGTGATCAAAATATTTCCAAATTTAGTGAAAGACAAGCATATGAATCCTAGAATTTCAAGCCCCAAGTAAGATAAATATGAAGACCATGATCAGGAACACCACAGTCAAACTGCTAAAACTTAAAGGTGAAAATAAATATTTAAATTATTCAGAGAAAAGCAATACACTAAGGAAAACGATACAAATTATTGCTGCTGGCTTCTCATCATAAACAACAGAGATCAAAAAGAGTGGAAGAAAATTCTCAAAATGCTGAAAGAAAAAAAAGCCAACCTAGAACTTCATATCCAAAAAAAAAAAAAAAAAAATCCTCAAGAATGAAAGTAAAATAAGGACATTTTTGAGATAAAGAAGTTAAAAATTATCACTAACAGCAGTCTTGTATTACAACAAATCCTAAATAAATGTTTTCAAGCCAAAGAAAAATAACATCAGATGGAAATTAGATCGTTAAGAAGGAATGAAGACTACTAGAATGAGTAAATATACAGGTAAATATCAAAACCTATTTATTTTCTTTATAACTTAAAATATATATAAGTGCTTAAAGTAAAAATTACAATGCTTTACTCTAGGGTTTATAATGAAGGTAGACATAATGCAATTAACCTATACAGCATAATGTATGGGGCAGGTAAATGAACTTATACGATTATAAGGTTTCTACGTTTCACATGAAGTGGTGAAATAGTAACTCTAAGTACACTGACATGGTATATGCATATACTATAATGCTGAGAGCAACTACTTTTAAAAAAGAAAAAAGTGTAGCTTAAAAAGTTAATAGATAAATTAAAAAGGACATCTTAAAATTACTCATTAATCTAAAGGTGGTTAGAAAGGAAGTTAAAGAAATAGAACAAACAATAAATAATAAAATGGTAGACAAATAAAATCATATCAATAAATTAAATAGTAATAAACTAAATAATTCCATTAAAAAGCAGAGCACGTCAAATGAATTAAAAAGCAACACACAACTATATGTTGTGCATTTACATGTATGTATGTATGTATGTATGTAGATAAGGAGCCTCACTGTATTGCCCAGACTGGTCTTAAGCACCTGGACTCAAGTGATCTTCCCACCACAAACCTCCCAAAGTGCTGAAATCACAGATGTGATCCACCATGCTTGGCCAAAAATATGTACTTTAAATATGCAGACATAGATAGATTGAGAATACTTGGCTAAATATACATCATGCAAACAGCAAGCACAGAAGGCTGAAATAAATATATTAATATCACATAATCTTCAGAAACTAAGAGTACTACACAAAATAAAAATGGATACTTCATGTTGACAAACAGTGAATTCATAAATAGAAATCATAAAGAACATGTTTATTTGACCACAACAGAATTAAATTATAGTTTAACAATAAGACATCTTGAAATCACAGATACACAGAAAATGAATAATATGCTTTGAAATAATTCAAGGGTCAAGTAAGAAATCACAAAGAAAATTTTAAAATATTTTGAACTCAAAGAAAGTGAAAATAGAATATACAAGAATATGTAGGATGCAGCTAAAGCAATGTTTAGAGGAAAATTTATAGTCTTTAATGTTTATATTAGAAAAGAAAAATCTTAGGTCAGTTACCTAAGTTTTCACTTTAAGAAACTACAAAAAGAAAGGCAAACCACTATAAACTTAATGTATGTGGAAGAAAAATTTAAAAAGAGAAAAAAAAAAATCAATGGAATAGAGAAAATTTACAAAGTCAAAATCTGGTACTCTGAGAATATCAATAAAATTGATAAATCTCTAGCTAGAACTGAGCAAACAAAAGGAAAAGAGAAAATACAAATCATCAAAGAATAAAAAAGGGGATAATGGAGAGATCACATCAAATTGTCCTGGATACTTAAGACATATGCAGGTCTTGAAGAGAATTACTTGGCTTTCAGCAGCAGAAATGCCTGTCCTCTTCTATCTCTAATGGGTTCACTTAGTGAATAAAGAAGAATACTGAATCATAATCCCACAAACTTGCTTTTAAATGTTATTTGAAAAAGTTACCATACTTGCTCTGCTACAAATGTCAACATAGGTTTAATTAGTGTCCTAATTTACTAATATTAAACTTTCACCATTTTCTCTACGTATTTCTTTGATTCTTCCTCTTAATTTTGACACATGACTATCTCTCCAAATTTTATAATCACAACTTACTGTCCCCACAGATGTTATCCTATTCCTTTCTGGTTAAATTTTCTATTATATGTGGGTATATGGAAATTTTAACAGATTAAAATAAAATTTCTGAACAATCATCAATTGAAATGTAAAGTTTTGTGATTTTTAAAAAGTAATAATAAAAACAGAAGGGAGCCTTTTTAATGATAATCTCGGCCACTATAAATACATTATATTTACAGTATATTATCTTAATTTGGTTCTACATTGTTTAGGACCAAAATATGATTCTGGCAATTAGTTATACAAATGTAGAATAACAAAAGACAGGTGAGTTAGTTTAAACTCCAGCAAAATAAATCTCTAATATAAGCTTATTTCTAATATAAGTTTATTTCTAATATAAGTTTATCTCTATTATCTCTAACTTAAGCTTATTTCTAATATAAGTTTAATATAAGCTTATTTATAAGATTATTATATTAGAGATTTAAAATAAATCTCTAATATAAGCTAATTTCTTAGTCGTTTGTCTCTTTTTAAAAAATTGCTATGTCAATAGAAATGTATTAAAAATAAAATCACCAGTTTCCCCATCACCCAGAGAGAACAACTATTAACACTTTAAGTGTTTTTCCTTCTTGTAAGTAAATACAATTTTGTAAGCATGCAACTGCAAAAAAAGAAATTAATAAAAAAAATGTTTTTTAACTGTTGGACAAGATGTGCAACCATTTGTGGATTACAGGTAAAGGGGATTTTGATGGAGTCATGCTTTTACTATAGTCTTAGAACTAAATATATCTGTTACTAATATACCAAAAGTTATGTAAGTATTAAGTTTA